GTTGTGTTTTGGTCTAAGATGTCATTTAGAAATTATCTTGGAATCAGTTTCATGATCTGCTGAAGACTTGTTTTTTTTTTTTTTTTTTTTTTAATTTAGTAGTATAATTTATATGTGCCTATTAGCCAAATAATCATCATCATTATTAGATGATTGTTATAGCTGCTAAATAGCTTGGTCAGAATTGGTGATTGACCTATAAACTTCAGACAGCATTTACAAATTTAATGTATTGAGGAATGGCTACAGGATGCCCCTTTTCCTAAAATTTTATAATTGGACCATTGATACAATATTTTGAAAGGACTTTTCTCTGTGACTCCCTGAGGTGGGGCAGCTATTAGATTTTTAGAGATGATAAAATTATTTCTGATGCCAGGCCTTTTCCTTTGGACCTTGTCCTGGGATCACAGAGCCTTCTGGTATGTGGAGTTGTCTCTTCAAATTAATCTTCTTTCATAGCTTTTCCTGCAAAGATTATAATGTGAAAATTATTTATAACAGTAACTGTGCACTTCTTTTTTTTTTTTTACTTAAAAAAACCCACTTGTGTGTGTGCATGGAGCTGTATGTGGAGTTCAGAGGACAACTTGCTGGTCCTTTCCTTCGATCATGTGGAACCTCAGATCTTTGGGCTTGGCACCAGGTACTTCTGCTGTCCAAGTCATATCAAAATCCCCCTGGACCTATCCCTATTACTTTTTTAGCCATCTGACAGCAGTTGGTGCTACTGGTTCAATGGAAGTTTTTTGTTGTTGTTGTTGTTGTTGTTTTTATATGTATGAGTGTATTGCCTACATATCTGTAAGGACATTCCTGTCATGCAGTGCCCATATAGGGCATTGGTTTCCCTAGAACTGGAGTTATAGATGGTTCTAGCTGCCCTGTGGGTACTAAGTATTGAACCTGGGTCCTCTTCAAGAACAGCCAGTGCTTTTAACCACTAAACCATCTCTCCAGCGCCCTCCCCCCCTTTAAGAATATTTATTTTTATTCAAAGCAAAGTAGGTAGTTCGGTCTTTCAGTGTGCTGGGTAGGCTACCTTGCAATAGGGAGGGATTGAATAACTTCTCAAAGAATGGGCTGCAGCTGATTCAGTGGTGCCCTTGATTCATTAGTGGGAATATTGCACATAAAGGGCTAACAATAACCTTAGGAAGTAGGTATTTCTTTATTGCCCTGTTAGGGGGAAAGTTAAGGCACAGTGAAATTAAGTCAGTGGTCTAAAGCCATACGGTGGTACTAGTGGAGCCAAGATACAAACCAAGACTGTCTGGCCTTAAAGTCTGTCTAAATCCCTGGCCACTGTTTGCCCTAAGATAGTGAAAAGCCAGTATTTTCCTTAGCATTTTATTGGGGCTGGTTTTATGGATTTAGCTCAGTGTTAGAGAGTTTGTGGAACAAGACCGTGGTTTCAGTCCCCAGCTTTTAGAAAAGAAACCCCACAAAGGAACATTATGTTGGGGAAGAGAGGGGGTATGGTCTTTTGCAGTTCATAACGCATATTTAGACATTATATTATTCCTCTGTAACAGAAAACACCACCACAGAATGGAGTGGTGTTGATGGTTTTGGTTTTGTGTTTTGAAATAGGGCTTGGCCAAGTAGGTTAAGGCTGACCTTGAACCTCCTGAACCTTCTGCCTCAGTTTAGAGTGCTGGAATTAATAATCTGTTTGGACTACCAGGTGGTGGCCTGATAACAATATTTTTATGCCAACAGTTGTTTATAGTTGATTTTAGCAGCTATTTTTTCATATGGCCAGTCATGACTGTCATACAAGACGCCAGCTGTATGGCAGTGCTGTGTTGTGATTTGGGCTGCCTAAGTATCCTTTTGGACTAAGAAAACTGCTTGGTATCTTTTCTAAGGTCATGTAGTGAGGGACAGTTATTGTCAAATTCCCAGATTATGCCTACAGTATTTATTGTAAACCCTGGCATGTTTGAAGTAGTTGATAGAGTTTCCCCTGCATTGAGACTCAGGAACAGCGTTGGAGTTCTATGAGTGAGCTATAAATCAGCAGTGGATCACCTCTCACTGTGTTGACTTGGAATAAGTGCTTCCCCAGCCCTCACGGTATTTTGTTTCTCAGCTACAGGTTATTGGCTTGCTTTGAGAATCGTGAAGGTCTTGGTAGAGCTTATTGTCTTGCCTACCAGATGGTATTAGTGTGGGCTTTTCAGGATCCTTTGGAATCTTATCACTTGCCAATTACCCAATTTTGTTTTGAATACTCTTTTCCAGTTAATATTGCATCATTTACATAGAGAGACTGTGCCAAAATGCTGGAATGTAGTCTATAATCAAATCGTAGCTTTTGTTTCCTGAATTGTTTCCTGAAAAATGCTCTCAAGAAGGAAATCTCTTCCATTTTCATGTTATCAATTTAAAAACTATTTTTTTTTATGTATGTTTGACTGTAATGTCTGCATGTATGTAAGTGCACCACCCTTATCGTGCAGTGCCTGCAGAAGTCAGAAGTGGGCATTAGATCCCCTGAAACTGGAGTTACAGATGGTTGTTAGCTGCCATGTGGGCACTGGGAGCTGAACCTGGGTCCTCTGGAAGAATAGCCAGTGCTCTTAATCGCTGAGCCCTCTATCTAGCCCCTAATTACCAGCCCTTAACACAGGCAATATGGCAACTCTTGTAAATCTAATGTACATTCACTTAGGAGTAATGGGCCTTAGCATGAAATGTGGTTGGTTGATGGTGAGGACTGCAGACTTAGGTTACCAAGATGATTGCTTATGTGATGATCTCATTACTGTATTTCTATGTGTGCTTCCAGGTAGAGTATACAAATGATGAGTTATGTAGGGAGGTAAGGCAGATAGATTGACATTGGACTACTGTTTGGGGTGATATGTCAGAATATGTTCAATAGTTACATTCAGAATGTACCTTTATTTACCCAGCTGCATGCCATATTGTATACCCAGTAACAATGGAACTTGGCAGTGAAACAGCTTACTTTGTTTACAGCAGAGTTAAGAAGGGTAGAGAAGAAGCTAACAGGATCAATGCTTGAGAATTAGAATATGTCAAGAGGTTGTAGGTCAGGAAAATTCCAGAAACCCATTGAAGGGGCAGTAGGTGGTTAGTGGAGCTTTGAGGCAGTTTTGAAACCTTGGAAATTAATCTATAAATAATTTCTTACTGCTACTGTTTTTACCTTGGTTTTTTTTTTTCTTAATTTTTCCCCCAGGGCTAGGAATTGAACCCAGAACACTTGTGAATGCTAGACAAGTGCTCTACTACTGAGCTATTTTCCTAGTCTCTATTTAATTTTTTGCCTCTTGGCTGCCCCTCTTATGGACTGTCTCCAGTTCATAGAAATACCACGAGACACTGTTTTTTAGATAAACTTGCACAGTTCACAAATGCATCTTCTAAGCCGTAGTGACTGGCTCCCATTCCAAAGTGGACAAAGGTTTTGAATGCCCAAGAAATCTATTCATCCTGTAATTTCCATACTTGATATTTAACAGATGTCTCTAAGGCAGTAGTACCCTTTCTTTTTTACCAGCATTACGATGAAGTTTTTAAACTTTTGAAAAGAAACAAGCCAAAGTGTTTTTAAGATCATTATGATATTTCCTATTTGTACTACAAAATAGCGATATTAATTTTTTTCTGATCTTTCACAAAGATGAATGTAGAGCCTGAGGTGACAGGTGAGACTCGCCATTGTATAAAAATACTCAGTTCTTTACTGGAATCAGTCGACATTTATGTTTGCTACGTAGAGGTAGTCAGGTCACAGGATTAAATCTGTTGTGTTGGCCAACATTAACAGTTTTAATTAACTGAGTTGAGGGAATGGCTTTCTTAGGTCTCATGGAATACAAATGTAGTTCAAGGTCTATATTGATTGTTGTATCTTGTCCATTCATGTCAGCTGGGCTGTTGAAAGTCCTGTCCTGGGAGGCAAGCTGTTGGATGAAGTCTTAGTGGCTCTTGGGAAGGAAGACTGTCAAAGTGCTTCCCAGTTAGGCTGCCAGCCTCACCTTTCTTTCTGTTAATGCTGTTCAGAATGAAATGTAATTTCTGGAAAGCAAGAGAGAGGGCTATTAGTTTATTCATGGTTGCATTCCTGTTCCTTCCATACATAGTTGGTAACAGGTATTTGTTTTGTAAGCATTCTCTAAATGAATAGGTGAATGATTGTTAATATTCTGTGTTAATAATGTTGAATCCTGGGATATTTTTAGTGTGAAGGTCTTTGAATTTATTCATAGCCTTTTCTTGTGAACTAAGAAGTGTACTAAGTATGAGCTCACAGTCTAAAACTTTTTATTCCTTTTCTGTGCATGTGGATGCCATGTCATCCACATTTTGTGATTAGCTATACTTTTGTGGTGTTGTCAACTGCATACGAAGAATAGACTTCTAGGAGACTCTGAAAACCCCCACCTGAGCATTTGTCTAACTTATTTATTAGGGTTAAACTATTAGTAGTTCAGGAAGGTATATAGAATCATTTTTCCAGAGAGTAAAGTAAACCCTTCCTCCTATATTCTTCTCCGGAGCATGAGTAGGTGAGAATTAATCCAAAGTACTGTTGGGTCCGTCTTTTTTTTTTTTTTTTTTTTTCTCTTTTTCTTTTTCTTTTTCTTTTTCTTTGAGACTAAGTCTCAATATGTAGACCAGACTGGCCTTAAACTCAGATCTGCCTCCCAAGTACTTAAGATTAAAGTTGTGTGCCACCCTGACCAGCCTTATTGGGTCTTAAAATACCTAAATTGAGATTGTAGCCCTAGCAATAGCTTGGAAATAATTTTGTAGTATATTTGTCCCAACTTTGAGGTGTACTTTGAATCACACAGGCCCTGTAGATTTGCTGATGACCAGGGGATTTTCCGTATGTGTATTGGTATGAGACGTCTTCTTTTGTCAAACTATCATGCTCAACAGAGGCTTGCTGACATTAGAGATTTAAAAATCATTTCACAGGACAGTTTCTCTAACCACACCACATCTTTCTCTTGCCTCAGCTATTCCAAAGGCCCAATGCGCTTGCTGTCCAGCAGTTGACAGCTGCTCAGCAGCAGCAGTACGCGCTCGCAGCGGCTCACCAGCCTCACATCGGTAAGTCTTTAAGCCCATAGCTCTCTTGTTAGAAGTTTGGCCCCCATTCTAGGAGAGGGATGCTGGGAAACCCAGTAGCTTAGCCTAATATAAACATCCAGATAAGCTAGGCCTGGTGGTTATCTTAGTACCTGGGGAGTGGAGTTTGAAAGATGGTGAGTTCCAAGCCAGCCTGGGTTACATAGTGAGACCCTTTCTAAAAAATAAAAAAATGAAAGAAAAAGAGAGTTGGGGGAGGTCCAGACAAATTCTTCACAGAGTATATGGCCTCTTCTTGTGTTCAGTTGTCTCTCGCTCCATTTCTTGTTTTTGACATCCTAGACGTGGGCTGCTAAGATTTCCGTAGTACCCAGCTCTTTCATATCTTAGCTATTTCAGGATTTATATAGTTTATATAAAATGACCAGTGAGTAGCATCACTTATTTCAGAAAGATTTTACTAATGTTGGTTAAATAAGTTGAGGTGACATATGCACATCATCTGTTCTCATCTTACTCAGTAGCAGATAGTACCTTAGAAGATGGACTTCTAAGCACTGTCCATTTCCTGTTGGGTTAGTTGTGCAGGTATTTTAATCTTACCAACTTGACCTTTCTTTGGAAATAAATCATTCTAACTTAATAAAAGTCCTAAAAAACTATTTTTTAAAAGTTTTAAAAAATCTTTCTTTGGAGCCGGGTGTGGTGGTGCATGCCTTTAGTCCCAGCGCTCGGGAGGCAGAGGCAAGTGGATCTCTGTGAGTTCAAGGCCAGCCTGGTCCACCTAGTGAGTTCCAGGATAGCTGGGGCTACGGGGAGAGACCCTGTCTCGAAAAGACTTAAAAAAAAAAAGAAGAGAGAGAGAGAGAGAAAGCTTTCTTTGGAAATAAATCATTCTAACTTAATAAAAGTTCTAAAATATTTTCATAACATAAGAGCCGAAGATGCTCAATGGTAGAGCACATGCCTAGTATCTAGTATGCAAAAGGCCTTGATTGGTTCCCAGCAGCACAAACAAAACAATAAAATCAATGGTTAGGATTTTATTTCAGTTTAAAACTGTAAATAGAAGCAGAAGTGCCTAAGTGGTAGAAGACTCACCTGACATTCATTAGGCCCTTAGGTTTGATCCCAGCACTGAGACAAATCAAGAACAGTATGTAAACAGTTTGATACAAACATTTCTTTATTAAAGGTTGAAAAAAAAAGACTAAGCCAGGCATGGTAGCCTGCCAGCCACTTGGAAGATTGAGGCAGGAGGATTGCAAGTTCAAGGACAGATGAGCTACATAGTGAAACCCTATCACAAAGAAACCAACCAGGGCTAGGGAAATGCTAGGGTAAGAGAGCTTGCTGTGAATGTCAGACCCAAGTTTGAATCTCTAGCCCTCACATAAAGGCTAGGTAGATCTGCATGTACCTGAAACTCCAGCATTGGAGAGCAGGAGCAATAGGATCCCAGGAGTTTGCTGGCCAGCTAGCCTAGCGAAAACAGGAAGCTTCAGGTGTAGTGAGAGACCCTGCCTCAAAAAGGTGGAAGCAATATAGGAAGACACCCACTGTCCTCCTTTGGTCTCCACATGTGCACACAGAAGTTTACACACATGGTCTTCCACATACCACATATAAATAACCAAACACAAACTTTTGTATCGAGGTTATTTTATCAATGTGAAATTCCTCTTTCGGTCTTTCTCTCTTCCCTCTCTTTTCCCCTTCCTTGATAACCTGGAATGCTAGCCAAACCAAAGAGAGGAGGTGTATTTAGTAGAGCTGCAGTTTTGGTCGTCTGTTTTTACTGACAGGTGTGTTTTCAGCAGGTTTAGCTCCCGCTGCGTTCGTCCCCAATCCATACATCATCAGCGCTGCTCCCCCAGGGACGGACCCCTACACAGCTGGATTGGCTGCAGCAGCGACACTTGGTGAGACATTCTGCTGCATGAGGGATTTGCTCACCTGCTAGGAATTGTTTAAGATGGCCTTGGGCTCTTCCTGCTCTCCCAAATCTGTGTCTCTAGTAGAAATGTCCTGATCTTCAGTGCCAGTCCCCTGCCAGTTAGATTAGATACCTCTGTTCCACAGTCCTCCCTGATGGGAACAAGTCCAAAGCAAAGTGATCGCCTATCTTGGGCATAAGGGTTTTGGATCCGTGAGGATAGCAGCTGCTCATTCACACTTCAGGAATTTTGCCCAGCTTGGTCTTCTATTTCTCATCTACCACAGGAGATGTAGACTGTTTTCTTACTTTCTCCACAGTACCTTGTGGCTTACTTTTCCTCTACCCTCTAAATTACTGGTAAATTGGTTTTAAGCATAAATCTTACCCTTTCACTTTTGTACTTATGAACATTTTCTTCTCTTTTCTCATGTGTCATCTCTACGGTTATTATCACACTTGGCTCATCATTTAGCGTCTCCTCTAAATGATCGTTCTTACATAGAAGCCTCTCTCCTTGACCTGTGCGTGTCACCCATACCCGTACTGCACCGCTCTTCCTCCTGCACGGCCACCTGGTCTGGGTCCACACACACCGCAGCCATCCTCGTCTGATTTCAGTTTGCTGTAGGCATTGCCTCAACGTAGGCCTCTGTAGACACCAGCCTCTTCCTGATGTGTACCTGGGAAGCTCCTTGACTGGCCTCGCTTGCTTTGGAAGCCTTCTTTGGTCACCGTTTCCTATTATTTCTGTTACTGGCTACCGTAGCTTTTATTTGCTTGTGGATATATTCATGGTATTTTTTCTCATCTTGAGCTTTTGTTTTTCAAAGGCAAGCACCTTTTTCTGTTTGACTCTTTGAGACAAAGTTGCTGTCACAGTGGGGCCGTCAGTGTTATGGTGGATTCACTTCAACATGAGGACAAAGAATACAACCTCTCAAGTACACATTCTTTGGGTCACACCCCTTTGAGTTAACATTAATCCTGGCTAAATATTAATGTCAGATTTCAGTTATTTTGTGATCTCTAGAATTGCTCCATGATTATGATGACAGCATATTTAATGCAGCCCTTTGCTCTGCTTTGGGTGCTATCTGATAGAATGTTCTTGGCTAGCCACCATTAACATTTACCTAATACCTAACTGTGTGCCGGGCATTGCCCTCTGCTTTTCTTTTATGTGAGTTTTTCAGTGGTTTTTCACAGCTTAGAAATTTGGGCTCACAAAACTGTCTTATGTCAACTCACATAGTTTAGAGTGTGGAGTTGGTTTTTACCAGTTTAACTCCAAGCCAGTGTGTGTACTTCACTGTGTTGTTGAATTTTTATATATATATATATATAATGTAAAACAAATACATAGTATAACTAGCTCCTCAAAACAAAGTTCAGGATAATTCATGTGCAGTCAGTGAACTGATGGCTTGGTAGCAAGGATTTTGGTTTTTGTACACATGAGCCATATTGAAAATAACTTAAGTAGTTTGCCAGATAATAGGACTACCCAACCTATGAAACTTTAAAAAAAATTTTTATTATTTTTATTTTATGTGTATGAGTGTATTGCCTGCATGTATGTAAGTGCACCTGTGTCACTTACGGAAGAAGGCGTCAGATACCCCTGGAACTGGAGTTACGGATGGTTGTTAGCCACCATGTGGGTTCTGGGAATTGAACCCGGGTCCTCTGCGAGAGCAGTCCGTGCACTTAAGTGCTGAGCCATCTCTCCAGCCCTGAAACTCTTAACACAGAAATTGAACCAGGCCTTCTGATGTCTTCCAAAATGTCATTTTAGGCTGTAAAGTAGGGCAGTTAAGTGCCAAGAATCTCAAAGGTCAGATGTGTTCAGGGTGCTCTCATTGCAGGTTACAGCCTCACTCTCAGCACCTGCTCTGAATGAGGAAACCAACACCTGTGAGAGTCTTCATTAAGCCTCTCCCTCTTGTTCTCTTTGCTGACTAGAGTGTGCATGCACGCAAATCAGGCGAGTTTGGAAGCCATCAATTCTATTTAGCTTGGAGATCATGGTTAGCCGTTTTTAGGTTCTGACAAGTTAACAATACATTCAATCTATTTGTTTATTGTAATAAAATAGTTCATATTGTAGCATAGTTTTTAAAAATTGTTTTATTTTTATATATGAGTGTTTTGTCTACATGTATGTATGTGCACCTGTGTCATGCAATGCTTGTGAAAGTCAGAAGAGAGTATTGGATCCTCTGGAACTGGAATTACAGATAATTGTTAGCTGCCATGTGGGTCCTAGGAGTTGAACCCAGATCCTCTGCAAGAGCAGCCAGTGCTCTGAGCCATCTCTCCAGCCCCATGTTATATAGCTTTTGTCAGCAGCACTTTCATTCTGTAGCTAGATGTAGTGTTTCACAATGGGCACCTTGGTTGCCACTAAGCCTGTAAGGCACAGAAAATGCCAAGTTAGAAATTTTTAAAGCATATCATTGGAAATTGATACAGCCTGAGTTATTTGTGATTTAGAAGCTGGAAGGGGAGGGAGAGATGTGTCAGTCTTCTCCAGAATCAGCTACTATCACAGAGTAACTATAATTTTTGAATGCTGGTGTTATGCTTGCTTATCATTAATAAATCAAGTTGCAAATGCTTAACCTTGTGCTGTTACTGAGAATGTTCGAATTGGAGATGGATTTCACCAGATTTGAGGAGCAGACTTTGAATACCATTTCCTCCCCTCTCCACCCACTTAAAAAAAAAATACTATGTAAATACGTCTAACACAGTGTACCATTATAACTGTTATTGTCTTGATTAGTGAATGCACATCCTTCATGTTTTTCATCACCAGCTTCAGCAGAGAATTCTGATTTAGACTTTGGCTGTATCTAAGTTGCTATCTTAGTAACCCTTGCTCTGTGTGGTGGAAACTGGAGCTATGCCATATAGCCAGAGAAGTTCAATCACTCACTTGATCTAGAACAGAATGGTTAGTTTATTTAAGATGTTCAGTGGGTCTGTGATAAGTCAGGTGTGCTGTGCTTTTTGTTCTAATTGTGATCAACTTGGAGAGTAAAAATTTCTATATCACTGCCAGAATGTGTTGTGTTGACTGACTTTGTGACTTTAAAAATATAAAGGAAAATAAAAGCAAGCCTTTTTCAAATTGAAGTGGTGGTCCATTTGAGTGCCTGTGTTTATCAGAAGAGAATAGATTTTCATGCCTTGGAGTTAGGCCACCCACGGGCCTAGTAGCAGTTGGTCCTCTCAGATGACCTTTCAAAGCAGAACCCTGTTGCAGTTTGTTCTTTTGCATTATTTCAGGTACACAAACTCTACATTTATTTCCCTTCCAACAAACTGTCTGTTGTCTACCCTGCATCTTTTCTTTCTTTTGGCATAGACATTACTTTTGGCTAGGTATGATGACTCAAACCTGTAATCCCAGCACTTGGGAAGCTGAGGCAGGAGCATATCTAGTTTGAAGCCAGACAGAGCTACATGGCATGACCCTGTCTGACCAAGAGACTTCTTCCTAGGGTATCCTCCATCTATTCCTACCTCCATCCTGGCCATTTTCTTGTATCAGCTTCTCCTTTCAGTGTTGTTAAAATTCCATCCTTACTCTAGGCTCTAGGTCTCCAGTAGATTAATGGCTTCAGAAGACTTTCTATGAGGATTCAATATAATTTTTCTTTTTTTCATTCTTTGTATTCTTTAAGGTAATAAGTTAATTAATTTGGGATCTCATCTCAGGATTTGCTGAGTGAGATATAAAGCGCTAAGATCATTCTTGGCAAGCTTCTCTCACTTTTCTCTTGTTATTTGTAGGCCCAGCTGTGGTGCCTCACCAATATTATGGAGTCACTCCCTGGGGAGTCTACCCTGCCAGTCTTTTCCAGCAGCAAGCTGCAGCAGCTGCAGCAGCAACGAATTCTGCTAACCAGCAGACCACCCCACAGGCCCAGCAAGGACAGCAGCAGGTAAATGCCAGTGACATTTATTCCTATCTGAGGGTAGCTCTTGGTTTGTGTCTGTAATTAATAGATGGCGTTGCTCCCAATGAAAAAATGCTGAGTGCGTGTGTTCATTCAGGCTTACACTTAGCTGTTTAAATTAAATTTATTATGTTGTGTGTGTGTGTGTGTGTGTGTGTGTGTATGAGACTTTCTATGAGGATTCAATATAATTTTTCTTTTTTTCATTCTTTGTATTCTTTAAGGTAATAAGTTAATTAATTTGGGATCTCATCTCAGGATTTGCTGAGTGAGATATAAAGCGCTAAGATCATTCTTGGCAAGCTTCTCTCACTTTTCTCTTGTTATTTGTAGGCCCAGCTGTGGTGCCTCACCAATATTATGGAGTCACTCCCTGGGGAGTCTACCCTGCCAGTCTTTTCCAGCAGCAAGCTGCAGCAGCTGCAGCAGCAACGAATTCTGCTAACCAGCAGACCACCCCACAGGCCCAGCAAGGACAGCAGCAGGTAAATGCCAGTGACATTTATTCCTATCTGAGGGTAGCTCTTGGTTTGTGTCTGTAATTAATAGATGGCGTTGCTCCCAATGAAAAAATGCTGAGTGCGTGTGTTCATTCAGGCTTACACTTAGCTGTTTAAATTAAATTTATTATGTTGTGTGTGTGTGTGTGTGTGTGTGTGTGTGTATGTGTGTGTAGGTGGGTGTGTAAAAGCCAGATGTTAAGTCATTCCTCAGGAAGCTGCCATCTTGTTTTCTTCTTTCAAATTTTCTTTCTTAGAAAAAAAGTATGCGTATAAGTGTTTTGCCTGCATGTATGTCTGTACATCACATGCAAGCCTGATACTTGAGGACAACAAAAGGCGGGCATCAGATCGTCAACTGGAGTTATGGATGATGTGAGCTGTCATGTGGGTGCTGGGAACGGAGCCCAGGCCCTCTGCAAGCTCTTAACCACTGAGCCATCTTTCCAGCCCCTACCTTATTTTTTTAAAAAAAGATTTTACTTTTATTTGGCTGCGGGGGGCTGCTATGCAGGTGCCTGTGTAGGCCAGAGTGGGTGTTGGATCCTGTGGAGCTATAGTTACAGGTGTTTGTAAGCTGCCTGACGTGGGCGCTAGAAACTGAAGTGGTCCTCTGAAAGAGCAGCATGCACTCTTGACTGCTGAGCCATCTTTTCAGGTCCAGGAATCTTCCTGTCTCTTTGGATTTTTTTGTTTATTTATTTATTTTTTTCAAATTTTATGTGTATGAGTGTATTGCCTGTATTTATGTAAGTGCACCTATGTTGTGCAATGTCCGCAGAAGTCAGAAGAGGGCGTTAAATCCCCTAGAACTAGAGTTACAGACAGTTGTTAGCTGCCAAGTGGGTGCTTGGAATCAAACCTGGGTCCTCTACAAGAGCAGCCAGTGTTCTTAACTACTGAGCCATTTTGCCAGTGTGCCCCCCCCCCCCCGAGATTGTAAGTGTATCACTAGGCCCACCTTTTTGATTAATTCAGGTCCTCCTGCTTGGTTGGTAAACACCTTACTATCTTCCTAGGCCCCAGATTAGCTGCTCTTATAGAATGCCTTTAAGTATCAGGCAACTGGTCAGTGTAATTAGGTAAGGTAATGATATTGATTCAATTTGTGTATGTGTGTATACGTACAAGAAAATAATTTTCTTTGGATTTATTTTTAAGTTTTTATTGAATTTTTGTGTATTTCATCTTTATACTCTTTCTTCTTTGGCACCCCCACCCCCCCAAAACGGGAGTTAGTTTCTCCTTTTGAGGAGATCTGTTCTTCCTCTTCCAACAGTAATCAGGTACCAATAATTCTTCCACTGAGATTGGGGCTTGCTGTTTCCATAGTTCTGTGCTGGGTTTTTGTCTGCCCTTGTGCAGGCTGACACCATTGCTGTAGGTTGTATTAGAAGTGTCCCTGGCTGGATTTATTTCATTTATTTATTTTTTGGCCTTTTTGAGACAGGGTCTCCCTGTAGCCCCAGCTGTCCTGGAACTCACTATGTAGACCAGGCTGGCCTTGAACTCACATTCCAGGCTGGCCTTGAACGCACAGAGATCTGCCTGCCCCTGCTGGGACTAAAGGCATGTGACACCACGCCCAGCTGGGTTTTTTTTTAATGTGTCTTTACATGCAATGCCCTCACAGGCCAGAAGAGGGTGCTGTGAACTAAATAGTACCCTCTGTAAGAGCATTAACCACTGAACCATCTCTCCAGGCCCTGGAAACATTTTGATTGGTCTGAGAAAGAATAGTTTATTTTTAAAACTAAATACTTGTTGTCCTTTTTTCCCCTCCTCTCAGTAAAGATGCTCTCCACATACTAATTGCTAGAGTAAGTCTGGAATGCTCAAAAGGGGAAAAACATACAACCATTACCACCACCAATTGCTGCAATTCTTATGTCAAAAAATTAATGTTTAGCATCTGTTATTCTAACCTTATTACCAAATCTCTCACAAAATTAGTATTATTGTGTGTACGTGGATTTGTCTTCTGTTTTCATTATGTTCCATGTTCATTTTAATTTCAGCCACTAAAATCTGTTATTTTGATCCATATTTGATGTTTAACGTAACAATCTTTATGTATTATTAACAGTACTGGTTAACAACTAAAATCATGGATCCATGATTATTTTCTTGAAATAAGTTCATATTAGGAGGAATTTTCTGTACAGCCCCTTTGCTTCCTGGCATTCATGTAAATTTGAAACACTCTTGTATCAAGTTGGTTAGAGTCACATACAAAAAGAAATTGCATAATGTTTTGGTAACAGCCATTAATTACAGGTTATTGATATCCTGTCCTGTATGAGGAATTGTCTTGTAGTCATTGTAAATACTCTCAGCAAATCTTCAAGCCTAGCTGTTAAAACTCCCACTACTTACAGTCTCCCTGTAGCTCCAGATATCCTGGAACTCGCTATGTAGACCAGGCTGGCCTGGAACTCACAGAGATCATCCTGCCTTTGTCTCCAGAATGCTGGGATTAAAGACATGCACCACCATGGCTGACTCTCTTATGTTTTTAAAAAAGTGATTTTTGAAAAGACTTATGTGTGTGTGTCTATGTGCGACTGTATGTATGTATGTGTGAGTATATGCCACATGTATGCAGTGTGTATGCAGGTGCCTATGGAGAACAGAATAAGAATTGCTATCTTTTAAAGAGTCAACTGATCTAGAGCATATGGTGGTTCTTAGATACTTCCCTGCGAGAAGAAAGGTAGCTGACATTTCTGTCTCCCATTCCTAGGTTCTCCGTGGAGGAGCCAGCCAACGTCCTTTGACCCCAAATCAGAATCAGCAGGGACAGCAAACAGATCCCCTTGTGGCAGCTGCAGCAGTAAATTCTGCTCTTGCATTTGGACAAGGCCTGGCTGCAGGCATGCCAGGTGAGGCGACACTCAAGTGCCTAATGCCTTGGTGTATTAAAAACGTGTTCCGAACTGTTGGCGATGCAGAGCAGAATGGGCAGTGCTTTTGGCTTGCCTGGGCCTGTCATGATTGGGGACTGGCAAAGATGATACATACTTGCCCTCACTTAGACCACAGTTCATTGCTGAGAGCATTGTTCTGAGCCAGTTGTCCGTCTTTCTATGTTGGAGATCTGTGAGTGTCCACACAACTTAGAATGTGGAGCTTGGCCTTGGTGGTGGTTGTGTTAGTTGGACACTACCTAGGCTCTTATGGCTAACTTGCAGGATATTTAGATTATTATGTGGTGTACAAACACTGTGACTATGACTGTATTCCTTGCTAATTCTGTTATTTGTATAGTCAAGAAACAAACAATTTGCCAGTGTATGATTGTAAGTGATAGTCTTGGCTAGCACTTTACAAAGTAGGTATTCGCTATCCCAACAATGCCCTTTTCAACAACCAGCAGAGGATACCAGTTCTGCCCCTTAGTGTAGACTTAATGTGCCTAGGCATCACATTGGACCTTTCCCATTCCCTTAATCTTTCCAAGGATTTGGGGAGGCAGTAGTTATTATTGTTATCCGGTTTTACCGGAGATGAGTGCCCAGAGATTCAGAGCTACTTAGCAATCTAGTTTCATGTGATCTTAACACTGCATTTGTGACTTTGTAGTATACTGGCACCAAGGATTCATTTACTGTGGGTTTCAAGACCCAAGTACATGCCCCAGACTGTGGCTTGGGCTGAACCCTATGGATACTATATTTTTTCTCTATTTAAAAGATAAAATTTTATTTATAAATTAGCATCACAGTAAGAGATGAACAACTACCAGTTAGTACATGTTTTAGCATGGGGGTTTTATTTCCTTATTGAGCCAATAACCTTCACCTTTTCATTGAGTGCTTAGCAGCTTCTCTGGCCTGTCTCAGTCACCAGTGTAAGCCCTCATACTCTTGTAAGCCCTCATACTCTTTAGGACCATTGTTGGTTTGGGTCAGGGGCATCTGAACTCAGGCACCATCACTGAGGCAGTCTGGTAACAGAGTGGCTATGGCTTAATGGGAGGATAATATTTACAGCACAGGCAGGCTGAACCGATGGATTATTTCCATCCCTGGCAGATGGAGCTAAGTGTTGTGAGATTTCAACATGCTATTCAGAATGGCATGCAGTTTAATACTTAAGAATTGCTTATTTCAGGAATTTTCCATTAGTATTTTTATGTGGTGTTTGTTGAATGTGGTAACTGGGTAACTGAAACATTGGCAGGTGAAACTGGTGCTATATGCCTTTGTATGCTGCTTACCATCCCTAGGTTATCCAGTCTTGGCTCCTGCTGCTTACTATGACCAAACTGGTGCCCTTGTGGTGAATGCAGGAGCGAGAAATGGCCTTGGAGCACCAGTTCGGCTTGTTGCTCCGGCCCCGGTCATCATTAGCTCCTCAGCTGCACAAGCAGGTGAGCTGCTTCTTTGAGGACTCCTTTGAGAGAGCTAAGGGGTGGTTGACTGACCATGACAGTCTTCAGATAGGGTGGGATGTACTTCATTTGATCTTCTTAGTATAGTATTTCTATGTGATACTTCAAAGGGAATGCATTGCAAGGGAACTTGGTGAGCTCTGATTCTGCTGATGGGCATGTGCCACCTGGTTAGAAGTAAGTGCTGGTCTTGGCAACAAGTCAGATTATTCACACAAAGTGGCACTGTAGGCAGAATTCTAAGACTAAAGTCACAGAGACTCAATTCATTTTTTTTTTAGGGCTTTTTTTCTGGGGTGGGGATGCTAGGGAGCTGTTTTAGTATAGAAGCAAGGATAAAGGAGATCGGGGATTAACTGGATATGATACATTGATTGTATACTTACATTTTTTTATGGAACTTTATATGCATTTAAAGAAAACTAGAATAGAAGGGATATCTAGAAAAGAGCAGCATGCTAAAATAAGAAGTTGGAGGACTTCAGTGTATGATTAACAAAGTTTTTGGAAAATTCTCTCTGTGGGAATGTATAGAATTCAAGGTTTTGGGAAGGTGTTGTGTTTAATGGGTCTGTATAATATTTGAGTCTCTTAAACTGTAGATGCTTTAAATCTGCACCGAACACGGAGAGCTTGCTCTGTGGACTTCTGACTTCAAATCAGTAGTAGAAATAGAAAGTAGACACTTCAGATGAAGGGATCAAAGTTGGATTTGTATAGTTCTTTATAAGGTCTGTGTCTGCCTTGAAAAGATAGGAAGCATTAAAGGCTTCCTAAATAAAATGCAGTCTGGGTATGTGGCCAGTCCCTTTCACCGCCTAACGATATGCTTTGTTCTTTACAGCTGTTGCAGCGGCTGCAGCTTCAGCAAATGGAGCAGCTGGCGGTCTTGCTGGAACTACAAATGGACCATTTCGCCCTTTAGGCACCCAGCAACCTCAACCCCAGCCCCAGCAGCAGCCCAGCAACAACCTGGCATCCAGCTCTTTCTATGGCAACAACTCTCTGAGCAGCAACTCCCAGAGCAGCTCCCTCTTCTCTCAGGGCTCTGCCCAGCCGGCCAACACATCCTTGGGATTTGGAAGCAGCAGTTCTCTTGGTGCCACCCTGGGATCAGCCCTTGGAGGGTTTGGAACAGCAGGTAGAAATTAGTCTAATAAGCTGTTAAAATGGAATTTTACAATCTTTCTGGAACCCTGACAGTGCATGAAAGCCTGGACAGATAACCACAGGCAGATTTGGATCAAGTCCCTGGGAATCCAGCCAGCCCACCCAAACTTTAAATGAGGGACTGTTGAAAGCAAGTTATACAGCTAGGGCCTACTTCACGTCCACGCTCATGTTGCTCCTTATGTTTACTCACATAGTCAGTTTGTTCAGGGACTCGAAAACTAGGAGAGAGGTTTTTGCAGGCTTTGGGAAGCACGTGGAAGGAACTGTATCGGTGTGATGTTAAGCCGAGGGAGGAGGACTTACTGAAGGTCACAGGGCTGGCCACTTCCCATTCTAGACTTTGCCCAGGGCTTGGCTTGAAGACCTTAAAGTGTTAGGATTTTCTCCACTGTTTTGAACAGTATTAAGGTAGACACTGTGGAACCTTGGGAGACAGGATGTTAGATCAAGATATTCTAAATGTTTTGATGGGAGAAAAGAGCAGGAATGTAGTCTGGTGAACAGTAGGGTAATTGTAGTGGTTATCAATAGTGTGATCTCAAAACAGAAGGGCATGCCTGACAGAAAGTGTCCTGATTCAACTGGAGCCCACCGAGACTACAGGCTTTCATATGCAAGTCTTGTGTAGTGGGGCAGTACCCTGTTTACAGATCTTTTTTTCTGTATTCCATTTTCTGTTAGAACCTTTCCACTGATGAAAGCCATTCTTTCTAGTCCATTTTCTTTCACTTTTTCCCATAGCTCATGTGGCCGTCAGCTTTTCAATCTGCCCCATCCCATATCTATGACACTAAAGGAAGGTAAATTTGGCATGTACATTTGATGGCTTGAACAAAAGTTTTTCTGTTAGCCCAAGCCATGTCCTCTTTATTACCTATCTGCCCCCAGAACTGCTACATTAACACTTAGGCTGTCTCTGCTGACAAATTTTCGGTGGTAAGGAGTCTGGATCAAAGTGTTAGGATCAGATCACTGGGCTTGTTCTTCAAAGAACAGGCCTGTTCTTATCTGCATTGTTTTAATTCCATTTTAGTTGCAAACTCCAACACTGGCAGTGGCTCCCGCCGTGACTCCCTGACTGGCAGCAGTGACCTTTATAAGAGGACATCGAGCAGCTTGACCCCCATTGGACACAGTTTTTATAACGGCCTTAGCTTTTCCTCCTCTCCTGGACCCGTGGGCATGCCTCTCCCTAGTCAGGGACCAGGACATTCACAGACACCACCTCCTTCCCTCTCTTCACATGGATCCTCTTCAAGCTTAAACCTGGGTAAGAACCATTACTCTATCACCACCATGAACTCTAGAAATCTCTTGCCACCTATGACATTACAAGTACTTTGCATAAGCAAAGGACAGTCCCTTTATCCTAGAAGTGTCCTGGGTGTTCTGTGCCTTCTGTAAATACCTCATGTTGTTCAGGCCGTAGTGTAGCTAGCACAGCAGTATGAGATTGCCTAGCATTTGGATACACCCTGTATATAGTCACTTCAGCTTTAGTGCGAACATTTTATTCTTGAGCCACTTGTGGGAGTCTTTCACTGCAAACACAGCACAAGTCATTGCAATGAGGCGGAAGGACACAGAGGCAGAAAAAGAGAATTCATTCACCAGTCTAACACCTGCAATGCCACCACAGTTAATACCTCACTTTATTTCTTTGTAGATTCTTCCCTCCCCTTTGGATGCAGTTAATAGCTTACTTTTTCACATAAAGCATTTAATTTTTTTTGGTCAGATGCTTAAGTATGTGTAAATGTACTCTTAACCTACAGAGTCTGTTAATGACTAGCTGTAGATACTTTGCCTTATTGTGTGTTTAGATTGTTTTATGTATAGCATTTTTAAAGTGTTACTGTTGAAATCCTAGGAAATAAAAAGGGGAAAAAGGACTCCCAGCAGCAGGATATAAGATTAACGGGAAAATTATAGTAGTACATGGGTTGGGGGCAATCTTTCAGGAGACAGGGAAGATTTCTTACAACAGAAACAAGGTGCATCGCCCTTCCCACTTGTTCTCTTGGATTTCAAGGTACTGATACTGTTTTCCAGATGGGGAAAATTGAGTTCCAGAAGGGGAGAACACATTTTCTGAATAAATTAGGGATGGGGGTGCAGCTGTTATTTTGTGATGGTGGCTTTAAATGAGGAACTCCCTGAATAAATCAGCAAGGATATCTGCTTTACCTAGAGGAGTCTCTCTACCCAGCATGTTTAAATGTGGCTTCAGGGACTCAGCAGTGGACTGAATAAATAGTGACAGGAAGTCTGCCTGTAAAGACTTAGGGATAATGCAGTATCAGGAGGTGGTAGTGTAAGTCCCTGTCTGATAGGCTCAGAGGGAGAACTGAGCACTAATTGGCCTAATCTGCTTGAATTAAAAATTTTGTGTCTTATGCTTTGAAAGGGGTAGATGCCCTTATGCCATACATGTGCAGAACCCACGCCTCAGAACTTACCTTGTCTTAGATTTGAACAGAACTTTGACAAACCACGTGATTTCGGTGTGTATCCTTGTCATGTGATGGTGATGCACCCAGTATTATCTTTTTGAACCAGCACATTATTAACTAAATCTGTAATGTTTTGCTGGTTATTTTGTTGTTGCTGGGAATTTTGTGTGTGTAGGGGAGTTTGGTTTTATATGTGTATGGTGCTTACTGTGTGTGGCTCTGGTCAGAGGACAATTTGCAGAAGTCACTTTTCTCTTTGTACCATGCAGGTCTCGGGTTGAACACAGACAGGTCATCAGGGTTAGTGACAGGTGACCATTGAGTCGTTTCATTGGCCCTAAGGGGTTTAGATTTTTTTTTTTTTTTTTTGAGACAGAATCTCATTTTGTAGCCCAAACTGGTCTGGAACTCATTCTTTAGCCCAGGCTGGCCTCAAACTCAGGGTAATTTTCCTATCTTAACCTTCAAAGTGTTGGCATTACAGCGGGTAAGTCACATGCCATCCCATATTAAATATAAAGTCAATAAAATCCATGAAGAATTTTTTTTTTAAGTATATTTTTAAGCTGGTTACAGTGGCACATGCCTTTAATCCCAGCACTCAGGAGGCAGAGGTAGGTGGATCTCTATGAGATCAAGGCCAGCTTAGTCTCCATAGCCAGTTCTAGGCCAGCTGTGGCTATAGGGAGATCCTATCTCAAAAAGACCCAAAATGCCAGATAAATATTTTCAGTTTGTGAATATTTAACTCCGTTATTGAAGTAAGGAAGCACCACAAACAAAATGTAAATGAAGTAGTGTGTATCTACTAATTAAACTTTTTACAAAAAATAGGTGGCAGGCCAGATTTATCCTGAACTAAGTGCTGGCAATCACATGGGGTCTGGAAGGACTGCGTGCAGGATGCCTTTGCTTCTAGCCTGTCAGCAACCTACTGAGGTGCTTCATGCTTTTCATTACTGAATTCTTGTGACTTTCATACACTATAATTGATGGTATTTTGATCCCCTTCCCTATCTGAACCTTCCTTATTGCCTCCCACCCAATTTAATGTACTCCATATATTATATAATGAGGCCTGTAGACTCCAGTTTGTGTTCCGTAATCTAATTTGTGTGTCCTTGGTTCATCCACTGGAGCCTGGTTAACCTGAGAGTCCTGTCCTTGAAAGAGATGGTCTCTCCCCCTCCCAACAGTCTTCGGTTTCCAAAAGTTCCTTAGGTCAGGGGTTTCTGTGCCTCTGACAGAGGATTGATGCAGCTCTCAGTTTTCACCAAAGAAGGTTCCTCATGCTTTCTTTCTTAAGTAGGTAGTAATGATTGCTGTGTTCTTGTGTTCTAGTGAGTTGCTGCCTTTGTAGATTTATATTTAACATATTTTTCCTTTCCTTTTTTTTTTTTGCCTTTTTGAGACAAGTTTTCCCTATAGCCCCAGCTGTCCTGGAACTCACTATATAGACCAGGCTGACCTTGAACTTACAGAGATCCTCCTGCCTCTGCCTCCCGAGTGCTGGGATTAAAGGCATGTGCCACCATGCCCAGCTTATATTTAACATATTTTTCCTTTTAAAAACCACCCCATGTAAGTAGTTATTTGTGTACTTGCATTGGACTTCGGCTATTGCGTGCTGTCCACATAGTGTCCAGGCCATTTCTGAGGAGCTCCATGTCTGAGCCAGTAAAGATTTGCCCCCTCTGCTTTGAGAAAAGCGTTCTTTCTGTGCATGAATCTCAACCTAGAGAAAAGAGAAATGAGTGATTTGTTCCTGCCATGTCCATACAAAGTCCCCTAACATACATTGGTGGCAGAAACTTACGAGCAAGATAGCTTCTGCTTTTAGTATCTCATCCTGTCACTAGTGACCACTTTTGCAGGATCCTGAGCCCACATGCTGTGCCTTTGATACTCAGTTGAATACACAGAGTAACTCTTCTCCAAAGGAAACTGGAACTCTGTTTAATGACTTCTGGGATTGAGTGTGCGTGCCAGCTTCTCTTCTTCAGTGAGGCTGTTTTCTTCACCATGCACATGCTCCTTAATGGTCAACAGATGTTAGAATATTCTAAGAAAGCTACTGGCCTGTCTAAGAATCTTCAGAGGCTCTTACTAGCTGTAAGTTGTATAACTGTCACTGTTTTAGAATATTTCCAACCTGTAAGCCAAGGCGGGTACTCGAGGGAGGTGTTTGAAGCAGAAACCACAGAGGAATACTGCTTGCTGGCTTGCTTCTCTGGGCTAGCTCAGCTTCTTTTCTTATACAGCCCAGGCCCACCTACTTCGGAATGGCACCACTCACAGTGGACTGGGCCCTCCTATGTCAACAATCAAGAAAATGCCCCACAGATATGCTTACAGGCTTACAGGCTGAGGGAGACAGTCCCTCAGTTGAGGGTCCCTCCTCTCAGATGACTCTAGTTTGTGTCGAGTTGACAAAAACTAACGAGCACTTAGTTCATCATCCCCATTCCCAACCCCTGGTAACCATTGATGTACGTTCTGTCTCAGACTTTGGATTTTTTTTTTTCCCTCATTTTTCTTTTTATTTAGCTTTATTTGTTTGCTTACTTTTTCAGACAAGGTCTCCTTGTAGCCCCTGCTGGCCTGGAACTTGCAACAGGCTGCCTTTGAGTGCTGGGATTAAAGGCATGTGCCTTGTGTGTATGAATGTGTATATGTAAGTGCTTCATGTGTGTAGTGCCCACTGAGGCCAGAAGTAGGTCACCTCTGGCTGGCCTGGAATCACAGAGATCTACTTCTCTCTGCTTCTGAGTGCTGGGATATGTTCAGCTTTGAGAAACTGTCCAACTGTTGAAATTGGTGTGATAGTTTAGCTTCTCACTGGCAGCAAATGAGGATTCTAATTTCTTTTTTTTAAAAAATACTTTATTATTTTTGTTTTATGTGTATGAGTGTATTGCTTGCAATGTGTAAGTGTACCCGTGTTGTGCAGTGCCCACGGAGGTCAGAAGAAGGCATCAGATCCCCTGGAACTGAAGCTGCAGATGATTGTTAACCACCAGGTGGGTGCTGGGAATTGAACCGAGGTCCTCTGAATTTGAGGTCCTCTGCAAGAGCAGCCAGGGTCTTTAACCGCTGAGCCATCTCTCCAGCTCTGAGGATTCTGATTTCTCCTTCCTCATAAATATTTTTTGTTGTTGTTGTCTGGTCTAATACAGCTATTCTAATGGGTATGAAATGGTATTGTGGTTTTATTTTCGATTTCCCTGATGACTGATGATTTAGAGCATTTTGGAGGGGGGTGATTGAGACAAAAATCTGATTCTGTAGCCCAGGCTGGCTTCAAACTTGTAATCCTCCTGCCTCATTCTCCTGAGTGGTGTGATTGTGTGTGCTAGTTTTTGTGCACCACTTTTGTGCTTATTAACCTTTAGGTTTTCTTTGAAATGTCTCATGGTTTTTGACCATTGAAAATTTTAGATTACATACTGTATTATAAGAGGTTATAGGAAACTGGAGCTCAAAGCTCAATTTCTCTTCTTTTGTTTTTTCTTTTTATTAAATTTTTGGAATTTTTGATGGTTTGCTTTTTGAAAGTTTTTTTTATTTATTTTTATTTTATGTGTCTGAGTGATTTGCCTGCATGTATGTAAGTGTGCCTGTGTGTGCCTAGTGCCCTTGGAGTCTAGAAGAGGACATTAAATCCTTTGGAACTAGAGTTATGGGTGGCGTTAATCTCCATATGGGCCCTAGGAATTGAACCCAGATCTTCTATAAGAGTAGCCAGTGCTCTTAAGTGCTGAGACGTCTCTCCAGTCCTTGAATCTTTCATTTTTTAAATGGGGTCTTTAAAGTGAGT